AACAACAAACCTTCAAATACAAGTAAACTAAAGTTTACCGGGTGAGCGGCAGTCGCCGCTGTTGCCATACGCGGCTCATTTTCTGCAAACTTCATGCCTCTATATCTGGGTAAGTACTGATGGGAAAATTTTTTTTTGGGGACTAAAACAATCAGAAAAATAATCTTAACGTTTTCATAAGAAAAAATAATTTTTTTTTTTTCGAATATTTTGCGACACCAGGAGACACTTCAGGATTGGGCCTTTCGACAGTCAAAGGGTTAAAATATTACAAATTATGAGGTAAGTTGGTATTATGGCTAAGTGAATAAATACTAGTTTGTGAGTTTAGCAATGTGAATGCAGGGTTCCTTTGGTATTTCTCTTAATGAATTCCAAATTTTTGGGCCTTTTATGTGCATAGAGTTTTTACATAGTGTGAGATGGACAAGAGGAACATCAAAGAGTGATCTGTGCCTTGTGTTGTAGTCGTGTGTCCTGTTAAGGTTGGTAAAGAGAAGTTTGAGTGGAGGGTTTATATTTGAGTGTGGTGTTCTATGTATGTAGTAGGCACAATAATAGGTATGGATGTTCTCTCTGGTGAGTAAGTTTAGACTTTTGAATATTCATGGAGTATGTTGTCTGGAATGAGAATTTATCATTCTGACTGCAGCCTTTTGCTGTGTTATTATTGGTCTGAGATGGTTTATTGTTGTTGAACTCCATGCACAAATTCCATTGGTGAGATAGGGGTAAAAGAGTGAGTGATACAGGGCAAGGAGAGCTGGTTGTGGAACATAGTACCATATCTTTGATAGTATGCCTACGTCTTAGAGATTTTCTTGGAGATTTGTTGTATATGTGTCTGAAATTTGAGGTTACTGTCAAGGTGGATTCCTAAGAATTTTCCCTCTGTAAGTCTTGTGACAGGTGATCCGTGATTGTGCTTATACGTAGGGGGCATAAGCATGACAGTGCCAAGGAATAAATACATTTCTGCCACAGTTGTATCTTTCCACCTGTGCAGCCGTGACAGTTCTGCAACCTCTGTGCTCTCCATTATATAGCAGTAGTAATTGTTTGTCTGGGTGACAATCAGGTTCATTATCGGCTTGTCAAAGTATAATTGGAAAAAGTCTAACTCTGTAGACTCATTCGTGATGGGACATTCTGGGAGGATGCCACTTCCACTGGCATCAAAATCGAAAGGATGTGGCACGATTGTTCTACTTTGTGTCTAGTTCCATTCATGGTCAGATGGTTCAGGGTGGACCTGTGGCATGGGGCATGGGGTAGCAGGAGGAGGGACAGGAGTGGAGGTAGCACATGGTTGAGGGGGTGCCAGGCAGTCCTTTGTCTGCCTACCAACCGTGCCATGCAGCCCAGGCACCATGCCACCCACCACGACCACCTCCTCTTCCTCCATCCCCACATATTCTTCTTCATGATCATTATCACTATCAGTGGCTGGGGTTTTCAATCATGACATCCCGTGACCCTTGGAAACTGCATATGGCACACTGCCTGAATGAAGGCAATGATGCCTAAAGGAACACTTCACTGGAGAATAATGTAAATCACTATCACTTGACAAATCCTCTAAGGGCATAAAATCAATCTCATCATCATTTATATCACTTTCATTCTCTTCACTAAAAATAACAGAAGATGATAATTTCCTCTTGCATAGTTGCTACCCCACAGGTGCTTGGCCAAGGGTCTGGTGTGGCCACAGTGGCCATCCCAGAGGTGCTTTGCTGAGGGTCTGGTGTGGTCACACTGGTCACCCCAGAGGTGATGGGCTAAGGGTAATCTGGGTTATCGTCAATATTTTCACTAATTCCTTGATCATTAGTGGCCACATCGGTCTCAGATCCAGTAAACTCATGTTCTATATCACTTTCCTCGAATAAGAGTGTTAATACGACGAGGCGTGATTGAATCATGAGGGTTTGCCATGATGTTGACCCAAGATGGAGCTGAAACTAACTGGTGCTACCATGCAGTACCGCGGGGTCCCCAATTTTTTTCATACGGTGCACATTGAGTGTGCAGACCCATTCTCTCATGTCTAGGCCGCTCAGGCCTATCGCCCCAAATTTGAAGGCAGGAAAAATAAAATGTTGATCTACGTTTGGAGGGCTAGTGGTAACAACGTAGATCTATGTCTGGACAGTTAAGGGGTTAATGGACCCCATAATGCAACTTAAATTGATGCAGCTATGTAAGCTGTCATTCTGTCCTGTTTGTCTCCAAAATTTGGAGTACTACAAGAAGATTCCAAAGGTTTCTTATTTGTCATCTGCTTTAAAATTGTTAAAAAACACTTTACCCTTGTGTGATTCATGATAGCAATACAGTATATTGTGTCAGACACCCCTTTGAAATTTAGCTTTTAAGTTTTAAGATATTCATCCTGTACCACTTGTCTTGACTATTCTTTTACTCCCCAAAATTGTACCATATGTTATAATCACTTAATTTTGATATAGTTATTGTAAGAAGAGCTTTTCATTGAATAATGACTATTTTCTTTTAACACACTAGTTGTCTCCCACCAAGGTATGGTGATCTGAAAAAGAAGAAACTTTCACCATCACTCACTCTATCACCATCTTGCCAGAGGTGTGCTGACACTACTGTTCAAATGCCCTTCCAAACTGCAGTCTCCCCACCCCACCTTCAGAGTGCAGGCACTGTATTTCCCACCTCCAGAACTCAAGTCTGGCTAACCAGTTTCCCTTAATCCCTTCATAAATGTTATCTTACTCTCACTTCAACAGCACATCAGATCATAAAAACCACTTCCCTTCATTCAATTCTATCTAACATGCTTACACATGCCTGTTGGGTGTCCAAGCCCCTCCATTCAACCTTTCCTGGCATGAGCTCTATCCCTTCTTCCCTTCATTACAGATTTATACATCCTCTAAGTATTCATATTTTGCTTCATCTTCTCAAAATGTTCAGACCACCTCAGCAACCCCTCCTCAGCCCTCTGGATAATAATCTTAGTAACACCACACCTTTTCTAATTTCCAAACTATGAATTCTGTAAATAATATTCACACTAAACATTGCTCTCAGACATGACATTTCCACTGCTTCCAGCTCCTCCATGCTGCTGTTCAAAACCTATGCTTCACACCCATATAGGTATTGGCACCTGTATACTCTGATACATTGCCTTTTTTTGTATCCATGGACAATGTTCTTTGCCTTCACAGATGCCTCAGTACACTGCCCATGTTTTTCCTCCCTCGTGAATTCTGTAGTCCACCTCATCTTTCATAGACCCATCTGCTGACAAGTCCACTCCTAAATATCTGAACACTTGCTTCCTCCATATATCCTCCTTGCAATCTGATATCTGATTTTATCATTACCTAAATTTTTAACTTCATCACCTTGGTCTTTCCTATGTTCACTTTTAATTTCTGTCTTTTGCATACCCTTCCAAATTTGTCCACTAACTTTTCCAACTCCTATTCAGAAAATCCCAAAAGCATTGTGTCATGGGCAAAAAGCATCTGTGACTACTCCCACTTCGTATTAGATTCTTTATCTTTTAATCCCACACCTCTCCCCAACACCCCTGCATTCACTTACAACCCCATCTACAAATATGTTGAACAACCATGGTGATATTACACATTCCTAAGTCCTACTTTTGCTGGAAAATAATTCCCCTCTCTCCTACAAACCCTAACCTGAGCCTCACTATAAAAGCTCTTAACTGTTTTAAGTAACCTACCACCTGTTCCATATACATCCAGTATCTACCATATTACTCTTCTATCCACCCTTTCATGTGCCTTTTCTAAATCCACTTATTGTAATAATTAAAAATTATTACACGATTTATTACTTAAATTGCCTTTGTACTTGTCTCCATATCTGTTGCTGTGCTCATTAGTTATTAATTAGCATAATCACTTTACTTCCTTCTTCAAACTCCATATAAATTCTTTTATTTATCATCAACATTTATGTATTAAACCTTGGAAAGAGATGGCTGTTGAGTTAAAAAAAGAAACTATGTAATATGTATAACAATTCTATAACTATTTTATTGTAAGTTTAATTTTAAGTCTCCCCAAAGTGCATTGAACAACTATGGGCTTTTCCATGTGTAATAGAAAAATATGCTTTGTAAAATTATATTATGCATACAAAATAAACTTACCAAATGCCCATAGCACATCAACAACCCCTCCTATGCCCTATGAATGATATCTTTTATAACCTCACACTGTCTTCTAATTCTGATGCATAGTACATATCTATTGCACAATACTACACCACACATTGCTCTCAACCATCATGTTTCCACTGCATCTTACCTCCTCCTTGATGCAACATTTGAAGCCCATACATCACACCCATGTAAGTGTTGGTACCACTGTACTCCGGTGCATTTCTTTAGGAACTTCATGCAAATAAAAAGTTATAAAATGGAATATACTACTTGAAGATGCAAAATGTTCTCTATCTGCCAACTGCTTCAAATATATTGTTAAAAAATGCCTCTTGAATCTGCTGTAAATTTGATATACTTTGACTATACATGTTTAATGTGTCCTGTTTATATAGACCCAGTTATCTTTCATATATACTGTTTGTCACCACTATATTGCTGCCCCTCAGTAATTCTTAGAATGTCCAAAATTATCATTTCAGTTATGTCTTATCTCTTCATATAACATTGCTGTCTTAATATACCAAGTTTTATTACTTAAGATTATTTAATAGTCTTATCTTCAAACTACTCAGTTACATCAAAATAAGCATTCTTTTAATCTAACTTCAACTATACATTGTTATGTAGTTTTGTGTTGTAGTCTTAGTTTGTCAAAAAAGCTCTGCACAACCAGGGGTTTTCCATAAAGTTAGAGATACACATCTCCTAATTTTGTAACAGTTGTATACATTTTGGAAATAAAAAATTATTGTTATTTATAAATGCTGACTTGTTGAAAAAAAAAAAAATATATATATATATATATATATTTTTTTTACAGGATGGAGAATTTGCATGGGATGAGTATGAGCAAGGACTGATCTTGGGATCTTTCTTCTGGGGGTATGTGCTGACTAACATGATTGGAGGACGGTTAGGAGAACTCATAGGTGGCAAGGTAGTCTTCGGTGTAGGAGTTCTTGTCACATCTATCTTGACTCTTGTAACCCCAGTGGTGGCACATACAAGTACACCATTACTTATCGCACTTCGAGTTGTGGAAGGTTTAGGAGAGGTGAGTCTCAAAGTGACCTACATTGAAATTGTAACATGATAGAGAAGAAGTTGCTACATTTTTTTTTTTTAAATGCATGGCAACCATTTTTAGGATTAACTGGCCAGTGTGCTAGTTTTAGGACTGGCTTCCCATGGGTTCCAGCCCTCTTTGCTATGAGTTATTTACAAATTGTGCTGTTACAATTTATTGAGCCATGATAGAGAAGTATTTTATTGAAATTCTCAATAAAGCCTAAAGTGTAGCATACCAGGGAAGAACTCTGCCCTCATATACTCTAGTTAAAACACTACAAATATATTTTGGGGGCAATCACCATAGTGGTTACTATACTTTGTTGATGCATGTAGTGGTTGATATACCTTGTTAGTATAGGTAATTTCTGAAATGCTGTGTGGATGTAAGTAGTGGCTAAAGTGCTGCATGGATGTAAGTAGTGGTTAAAGTGGTGAGACGATGCAAGTAGTGACTAAATTGCTTTGTGGATGAAAGTAGTGGCTACAGTGCTGTGTGGAAGTAAGTAGTGGCTACAGTGCTGTGTGGAAGTAAGTAGTGGCTACAGTGCTGTGTGGAAGTAAGCATTGGCTACTCATCACCAGTTTCTGCAGCATTCTTTTATTTCATTATTTTATCAAATACAGGCAGGCCCCACTTTACAGCACTTTACAGCATTTTGCTAATGCAGCAGTTTTCAGTTATACCTATTCTTCATTTATTCAGACTTCCTACAAAAAAAATATATTCGCAACTCACTATATGCTAAGGATGAAAATATTTTAAGGTAAGTAATGTGTGTACCATATATGTATTTTTTAGGACTAGCTCTGTTGCTCACTTAATCCTTTGGGGGTCGACAGGTCCTCTCAGAGACTTGTTCTCAGGGTCGGCCAAATTTAAAAAAAAAAAAAAAAATTCTTATGAAAAGATAGAGAATCTTTTCCCGATCATAATGACACCAAAAGTATGAAATTTGATGGAAAACTTATGGAATTATGCTCTCGCGAAGTTAGCGGTCTCAAAGATGTTTACACATTGGCGATTTTGCCTACTTTGAGCCCTATTTTTGGCCAATTCCAGTGTACTAGTCAACAAAAGTCATAACCATTTCGCTAAAACTCCATTTTTTCTATCGAATGAGTGCAAAAAACCACCCATTTACCGATTTCAACTATCCAATAAAGTGGTCAGAATTTAGCAACTTTGCCAATTTCACACAAATTTCAAAAGATGCCAATTTCCAAATAGGGCCCAGAATAAACAAGAAAGACATTCCTGGCACTAAAATAACAAGTTCTCTGTTCGTTAGTCACATCCCCAGGCCCCTCTTATATTTCTTTGGCTTTCCACTTTGAATTTTTATTCTTACAATAAAAAAATAAGATTTACTGTTATGCAGACTACTGCATTAGTGTAGAAATGGTATAAATAATATCAGCGCACTTGTGAAAAAATATTAGACTCACCAGTTGATGTGTATTGGACGCTTGGCATGATTTGTTTACCTTTGAACTTTGGTAAAAATCGAACATTTCTGCTACTTTGAGCTCAATTTCAAGGTACTTTTCATTGTAAAACCAGTCAAAATCATCTCAATTTCTGTAATATGTCTTCCATTCTATAAAATGAGACCAAATAAATACCATACGAAAATACACTGCAAAGTCGCTGTTTTAATCCAAAAACACGGTCAAAGTTTTTTTTTTCTCATTACGCACTGTGTGCTGCAGGCTTTTTTTTATACTGCACACACTAACCACATAGACCCATTCTTACATATGTAGGCCTACCAGCTTTCTCTCACTAGATTTGAGGGCGCTAGAATTTAGGCGTACTAGTACATCAAAAACTCTGTGTCGTAAGACATTCTAGTACGTTTTAAACCCCCAAAGGGTTAATATATGATAGTGTAAATATGTTATCAGGCTTTTATATGCATTTGAAAGTGAAAAAAAGCTATGTTTTCACTTTACAGTGGATTTTGCTTTACAGCAGTAGCCTAGAGCCTAATGTGCTGTATCAGCAGGGCCCACCTGTATAGTTATATTTGGCATAGGTATGGTTAGTTTATTTTTGTACAAAAGGCCTTATAAATACATGTACAGTGGACCCCCGGTTAACGATTTTAATCCGTGCAAGAGGGATAATTGTTATGCGAAATAATCGTTATGCGAATGAATTTTCCCCATAAGAAATAATGGAAATAAAATTAATCCGTGCAAGACGCCCAAAAGTATGAAAAAAATTTTTTTTTACCACATGAAATGTTAATTTTAATACACACAAACTGAAAAAGGCATGCACAATTACATGACACTTACTTTTATTGAAGATCTGGTGATGATTGATGGGATGGGAGGAGGGGAGAGCATTATCTTCTTACTGTTTAGAAGGGGAATCCCCTTCCATTAGGACTTGAGGTAGTAAGTCCTTTTCTGGGGTTACTTCCCTTCTTTTTTTAATGCCACTAGGGCCAGCTTCAGAGTCACTGGACTTCTTTCGCACAAGATATCTGTCCATAGTGGCCTGTACCTCTCGTTCCTTTATGACTTGCCTAAAGTGTTTCACAACATTGTCAGTGTAATAATCACCAGCACGGCTTGCAATAGCTGTGTGAGGGTGATTTTCATCCATGAAGGTTTGCACTTCAAGCCACTTTGCACAGATTTCCTTTATCTTTGTAGTAGGCAACTTCTTCAATTTCTCTCTCCCCTCCTCTGAACCAGTTTCCCCAGGTCTGGCCTCTTGCTCTTGAAGTTGATCTATCAGCTCATCAGTGGTTAGTTCTTCATTGTCCTCCTCCACCAACTCTTCCACATCCTCCCCACTAACCTCCAACCCCAAGGACTTTCCCAATGCCACAATGGATTCCTCAACTGGCACAGGATTCTCAGGGTTAGCCTCAAACCCTTCAAAATCCCTTTTGTCTACACATTCTGGCCACAGTTTCTTCCAAGCAGAGTTCAAGGTCCTCTTAGTCACTTCCTCCCAAGCCTTACCTATAAGGTTTACACAATTGAGGATATTAAAGTGATCTCTCCAAAACTCTCTTAGAGTCAGTTGAGTTTCTGAGGTCATTACAAAGCACCTTTCAAACAGAGCTTTTGTGTACAGTTTCTTGAAGTTGGAAATAACCTGCTGGTCCATGGGCTGCAGGAGAGGAGTGGTATTAGGAGGCAAAAACTTCACCTTAATGAAGCTCATGTCCCCATAAAGTCGCTCTGCCACGTCTGTAGGATGACCAGGGGCATTGTCTAACACCAGGAGGCACTTAAGTTCTAATTTCTTTTCAGTTAGGTAATTTTTCACATTGGGGGCAAATGCATGGTGTAACCAGTTATAGAAAAATTCCCTAGTGACCCATGCCTTACTGTTTGCCCTCCACAGCACACACAAATTATCCTTGAGGACATTCTTTTGCCTGAACGCTCTGGGAGTTTCAGAGTGATACACTAATAAAGGCTTCACTTTGCAATCACCAGTAGCATTGGCACACATCAACAAAGTAAGCCTGTCTTTCATAGGCTTATGTCCTGGGAGTGCCTTTTCCTCCTGAGTAATGTAGGTCCTGCTTGGCATTTTCTTCCAGAACAGGCCTGTTTCATCACAATTAAACACTTGTTCAGGTTTCAGTCCTTCAGTTTCTATGTACTCCTTGAATTCCTGCACATATTTTTCAGCCGCTTTGTGGTCCGAACTGGCAGCCTCGCCATGCCTTATCACACTATGGATGCCACTACGCTTCTTAAATCTCTCAAACCAACCTTTGCTGGCCTTAAATTCACTCACATCATCACTAGTTGCAGGCATTTTTTTAATTAAATCCTCATGCAACTTCCTAGCCTTTTCACATATGATCGCTTGAGAGATGCTATCTCCTGCTAGCTGTTTTTCATTTATCCACACCAATAAGAGTCTCTCAACATCTTCCATCACTTGCGATCTTTGTTTCGAAAACACAGTTGAACCTTTGGCAAGAACAGCTTCCTTGATTGTCTTTCTGGTGCCCACAATAGTAGCGATGGTTGATTGGGGTTTCTTGTACAGCTTGACTAGGTCGGCTATACGCACTCCACTTTCATACTTATCAATTATCTCTTTCTTCATTTCTATAGTAATTCTTACCCTTTGAGGTGTAGGGTTGGCACTAGAAGCTTTCTTGGGGCCCATGGTCACTTATTTTCCAGAAACAGCACCGAAAATACTGTAATAATACGAAATATTCCGAGTGTATGCTTGGATGTTACCGCGGAGGCTGGCTGGTAAACAATGGGACGGGCGGCACATGTGAGGCTGGCTGAGGGCACATTGGACGCGTCTCGGACGAAAATCGGTGAGCGGGTTTTTAATCGGTATGCGCGGCAAAAATTTTGCGATAAAAGTAATCGGTATGCGGAAAAATCGCTATGTGATGCCATCGTTATGCGGGGGTCCACTGTATACCTTAATTTACTGATCATTTCCATGCATTAGTACAGTTTGGTTAAATGTGGATTTTTATACAGTATTAATTTTTTTTTAACCCTTTGACTGTTGCAACCCCCAATCCTGAGGTGTCTCCTGGTGTCGCAAAATTTAAAAAAAAAAAAAAAAATTCTTATGAAATGATAGAGAATCTTTTCCCGATTGTAATGACACCAAAAACACAAAATTTGATGGAAAACTGACGGAATTACGCTCTCGCGAAGTTAGCGACCTTGGCGATATTTACAAATCGGTGATTTTGCTCACATTGAGCCCTATTTTTGGCTAATTCCATTGTTCCAGTCGACCAAACTCATAGCTATTTCTTTAGAACTCCATTTTTTCTATCAAGTGAGTACAAGAAACTGCCCATTTATCGATTTCAACTACCCAATAACGTGGTCAGAAATTTGTAATTTGGCCAATTTCACGAAAATTAAAAAAATATGACAATTTCAAAATAAGGTCCAGAATGAATAATGCAGACATTCCTGGCTCCAAAATAAAATTTTCTTTGCTCATCAGTCATGTCTCCAGGC